ACACAAGTATAACAACATTTCACTGTGTTAAGAGAGCAGACTAAATTCAGTCCTACGAGGATTGGAGGCACACAGTTCTGGGCAAGGGACAAGCTTCATTCCTTGGAAATCTTACCAACCTGCCTTAACATTTATCACACCCGGGGGCACCAATATCCAGACCTTTCACGCACGCTAGACTGGAAGAAAAGAAACAGACCAAAACTGAAGGAATTACAAGCATAGCACAGCAAACCTCAGTAAAACCCAGGATATTTTAAAATGCTCAAGAATTTCCATGCACTTTCCTTCCTAAAGATGCGTGATAACCTTCAGTCCATAGAAAGGAGATGAAGTTGAGCAACAGAAGCACATCATGAGGCACATCAGTGCTCAAATTAATGACTCTGGAAGACTAAAATCTCCTAGAAATAGGATCAAAATGTACCAGGTCAGCCAAAACTACACAGAGAACAGCTAATGATTCTGGCAAAGCCTCTTGTGGACATGGCAGAACACAAGTAATAACACAAATGTTATGGAGGGTTATTTTTGCAGTAAGAGTTTTGAACAGCAAGATCTTTGCAGGAAATACGTAGTTACTCCGTAATACTTAATGTCAGAAATCTCAAAAGTGCAAAGAATCACCAAGGGAAATTCAATAGCACTTCTAGTAGATGTCGAGCATATACATAATTATATCACACAAATCAGACACCCAGAAACGCTCAGGGCATCACAATCTTTTTAACGTCAGACAAATAAAGTTACTGAAAACTTGTTTTTAGTTGATTTCTAAAAATCAAAACAGGCAATACCTGCTAGATTATTATTCATTTAAAATAAAGAGAGAAGAGGAATCTGACTGCCCTTAATGGGAAAAACAAAATAAAACACCACACGAGTGTCTTACCAGCTGCAACCCACATTTTATGTCACAAAGCTGACCAACTAAAACCCGTTGAAACCATCGCTTAAGAAGTGCAGTTGCCTCTGATCTGTAAAGCGTTCATGTAGATAGAAGCACAGCATCTCACATTTCAGCTGAAACATCAAAAAGCTCAGAACCTGGGGGGGGGGGAACCCCCCCACCTATATTCAGGGGGAATTCCAGTCCCTAAAGTAGAACTTCAGCTAAATGGCCCATGTCTCAGCTTAAGCGTTCACAGATTTACTAGCAAGAGTAAATCTATAGGGAAAAAGGCGAATATGCAGCAGCACAGCAGACGATACAGCAGCCGCTCTATTTACTTTTCAGCTCTATCTTCCTCTGACCTGGATGGCTATAATCAACTATAGGATCTAGAGGAGCGAGATGAACGAGCGAGGATAACCATAGTGTACAGCATGGGTCAAGAAATATAGCAATCTCTTAGGAAAGGCCATAGTTTCAAGGGGAGTTTGGGCTGGCAAAGAACAATCTGACCGGGGGGTATGGGAGGGGAAAGCCAAAATCAGAGCACTCTAGGGTTTTCTTTCCTACTTCAGCCATGTTCCTTGGAACTCCTTGTGGCAGAAGTAGTATTTTATGTGAAGAGACGGCCATTCCAAAATTGCCTGCAGAACTCCGTGTTCAGTGCAGCACAGGTTAAACCTGTAAGTGCCAAGCAAACATCTGCTCTGACAGCCAGGAGGCTGCTTTACAGAAATCTCATCAAAAGGAGGTCTCTACTCACACTGCTGAGAAAGATACCATCAGCTTAGCTGAGTGAGTTTTCAATTCAGCTAAGACTTCTCTCCCAGCATTCAAATGTATTTCTCTAATCAGCTCCTAAATCCATCAGGAGTTTTTGGTCTGGAGGCTGCACGACCTTTTCTAGGACTTTGATAGACAAATATCCTCTGAGCCTCTGAGCTCTGCTACTACATCAAGATAAATTCAAAACGTTCATTTGATGTCCAATCCTTCTTGGATTCAGTAGGTTAAGGTAACAGATTGGGCAAAACTTATCTCCTTGCCTTATATTTTTTGTAATTATTTTTAAACTTTCTGTGGACTGAATTTGGAGTGCTATAGGCAAGCCTATAGCGGGGAAGGAGATATCACAAAAATCCTTAAAGACGAGACCCTTAAGGTCCTGACTATCTGCCTCAAAAATAAGACTTTGCAAACAGTTTGAAGGGGGATGAGGGGAAGAAACAGCTGTGAAAGCAAGGAAAAACTGCCTAAGTCTATTTACATATTAAAACGGTTCTGGGAAAACAATACTAAATCCTGGGGCAAAGTTCCCGAGCACAGAGTGGTACAAACCCAGCTCTAGGTTATCTTGAAGAAATTCCAGGATGTTTGCAATCCAGCAGTGGAAGTGTCTTTTTTTATTCTCTTCTATCTCTGAGCACGTCAGGAAAATAGGTAGCTTTCAGGAGTATCAAAAGGCAGAGCTTATCAGCTAACCTTCCGAGTTTTGAGGTTTAGCCACTCACTAGCCATGCTCCCCAAGTCTGAACATGAACTAAAGGTTGAGAAACCCAAGCAGATCCTCTGTGCACCAGATAGTGGGGGTTCTTGTGTGTGTATGTGGTTTTTTTTTTTGTTTTTAAACAGCTTTACCAGATCTGCATGACACCCTGTTTCCTCAAGGCCACAAGAAGCAGCTTCCTCGATGTGGGGGTCTTCTCCAAGACACCCCTCTCACAGGCAGAAGCAAAGTCCACAACGATCAATAGTGGGTCCTGTTTGGTTCTTCTGAACAGGATGGCTCTGAGGATGTTGCAGCTATACATGACAAGCCGCATTTTTTTTTTCACATCTGTTCAGAAATATCCCAAGACTGTAACCTGCCTTTTGCAATTTCAATAGCACCCTGCTCTGTTAGGATAGAAAGGCAGTAACAACGAGAAACAAAAAGCAAATTTTTTTTGCACTCCGAGTATGGTCAAACATTAGAATGGGTGCCCAGAGAGGCTGTAGGATTTCCATCCTTGGTGTCCAGTCAAATTTTGAAAATCAAGGCCCTGAGCAACCTAATCTAATTGGACCCTTTCTGAAAGGGAGTGTGAACAAGACGACATGCAGTAATATCTTCCAACCAAAACTGTTCTAAGATTCTGTTCTATGATTCTAAAAAAAGTGTTTCTTCTGTTTCTTTCCTCTTGCTGCTCTTGAACTATGCTCTTTTATTAAGACCACCCATGGAGCATGGACTGGTCTCAGTTGATGCATCTTTGAAGGGAAATTTAAATACAACAATCTGACTACCAGGTCTGCTGATAAACTTTCTTTCCTTGGTGTTATGAGATGTCACTATTTTTGAGTTATGACTCTGCTCTTTTACCCCTGCCAGCACCAGAGCTTTCTCACATGTCACACAAAGATCAGCCAATCTGTAAGGACATGGGATGACTTTTAGTATCAAAGTATAGTTACTACCACCAAAAAGAAAACTAGATTTGGATCCTAATCCTCTCTAGCTGTAACACAAGTCAGCACAAAACCTCATTGACTAAAAAGTTCGTGCTGCTATTCTGTGGCTCATCTTTGGGCCCACAGTTAAAATCTAGTTGTATATTCCAGAACACGTGATACAGGTGCAAGCTTTCAACACACCCAATTGTCATAAAAGCTAAACTGCAGTGAGAAAATTGCTTCAAAGAGTAAGCTGCAGTAGGGTTTACCCAGGTACAACTGTACAGGCTGCAGTAGGGTTTACCCAGGTACAACTGTACAGGCTCTCATGCACTTGGCCAACTCCTTGGTAAAATTCTGATCTCATTTATCTTTTCTTATCTTTAAGACTATGCATTCTGTAGAGACTAAACAATCAACATTTAAATGCTAGCTAATCCAGATCTTTCCCTGTGAAGCAACATCTTTTTTTTTTTTTCTTAATAGCAGAAAAGTGTTCTCATAGAGCCACTCTTTGATTTTCAGATTTCTTCCCCTGCAAGCTATCCTACTCTGAAGCCTTCTGCAAGTGAAGAATGAGCAGGTTTCATCTGGAATCTATACATGCTGGTTGAAGAAGAAATTCCAGCCCAGTAACCTGCTCGGGTATTGCAAGGGAAGGAACGGACACAATCTTCTTGGCAAGTTTTTTCCCCCCCACCGGTGATGGTGACCGATCGGTACAGCCACAGCTGTACCTATTGAGAGTTTCCTAGAGCAAGACTACAAACTACTACAAACCACTCTACAAACCTCTCCCGATCTCCTGCTTTTTTGTAGGGCCTGAGGTTGGGCTAAAACTAGAAGCCTTGAGAAAAGAGGAGAAAATTAGGAGGAGTTCTCTCAGAAGTCCTTCCTTCTAGCTGGGACGTTTCACTGATTATCTTTCATTCTTCTCTGCTCTCTTCCCCTCACAGTGGCACAACTCAGCAGCACAGATACATCAACCAAAACATGCCACATTCCCACAGCACCTGAGGATCAGAAGTCGCTAGGAAACTGCTGCCTCTGGAAGTACCGCATGCAGAACAACCAGATCTGCAGAGGACCCTGGCACGTGGGACAGACAGAAGGAATAGGAAAACCAGCACAGCAACAGGAGCATTAGCTACCTCCTTATCTCACAGGAATAAGCCATTCATCCTACCTCTGTCTGCTGGCTAGAGGCAGGTGTCCCAGACAGTCGAGGGATGGATGAAAAGATTTGAGTGACTGAACATACCCACTTCGGGAGCTACATGCTTTCTCTGCATTAATTTTGCTCCTGATTTTTTCCTATCACTAGTATGCATTTTTGTTTGCCTTGTTTCCAACATACACCTCTGCGATTCTTCCACTACAGGTTTTTAGCTCAGCCACTTTTCAGTGCCACATAACAGCTACAAACACAATAAGCAGATGCCACTGGAGTAAATGAAACTACATTCCTTGCCTTGAGGCCCAGCAGGCTGTTTTCTGTCAATGCTCCGCATCCCGTGAGTCTCCGTAGCAAAGAAAGAATAATATAGGTAATCAACTATATCCCTGTGAGCCGTATTCCCCATTAGCTAAAAAAATTCAAACTGAAAAAAGTGAAAGCAATCTCTCTCCAAAGTTGTCATTGAAAAACAAAATTAATCAAGGCAGCACCACTTACCAGAATTTTCCCCCCAAACAGAGTAAGTTTAAATTCACCACATTTCCTCAAAAACAGCTCAAAAACAGGCCCTGTAAAAAGGGAGAAAAAGGAAAAAAAAAAAATTTTTAGTGTCTAACACACCACAAATTACATTACACTTCTTTTTCACTCTGCTAACATTTATCACCAACGTTCCACTATTTTTATTGTTTTAAGGAAAGAGGTAATTGGATTTGATCCTTCGCGACTAATTATGAAAATCCACCAATATTATGCAAAGTCTTTGAATAATCACAGGATTCCTTCAGATTGCTTGGACACCTCGCTGTCACTGACATGACAGCTACTCAGCCTGCAGTTCAAGGTCAACAACATGAAACAAGCAGCGGCAATAAAGCAAGCGTGCCAATTATTTTTCGATCCAGCCCTGAAAAACTGGTCGACCCAATATCGCCTAGTGATTTTGCTTTAACCAAGCTATTTTAATATGATTATGCACACAATGGTCTGAACAGCCTCCTTGCTTGAAAGCTACACATAAAAGGAAAAAAAAGGTTTGTGCCACATTACATTTTTCAAATATATTAATTGCCCCCCGTTGCCTAGAAGAACACGGAGGTAAAGCAGCTAAGTAGATGCACTGTCCAGCTTGACATACATTAGGGCCAGTCTGAACAACAGGGAGAGCAGAAGTGACAAACGCTGTCATTTCGCCAGCCTTGACTAAATTTCAAATGACAGTGACTCCTCATTTCTCCTTGAGGCAAAATTTTTGAAAAAAACAACTCACGGAGCACAGACTAACAATGATGTTAACATATCTATTTTTTAAACCCCCGGAAAAGGGAGGGGCTATGATTTTGCTGCTGTCGAGCTTTGCGAATGAAAACCGTTCAGCAAACGGAGAAGGACACCCATTTCAGCGTCCTGGTGTCCAAACAAGTAAACTTGGATTGAATATGAACTGCTTTAGAAAAGGAAAGCAACCTCGCCTGCCCACCCCGCCCAGTATATAGCTGATTTTTCCACGAGAGAGGCATCTATGAAATTAATGCTGAATGCATAACTTTGCAACTAGACACAAATGACTTAGCAGCCTGCATTATTGACAGAGAAAGTCTGCCTCAGCTACAGAAGCAGGACCTTTCCTGAAGGATGTTGTAGGCATTTCCAGGAAAGGAAGGAGGAATAGATTTTTAGATCAAATTATTTTCTCTAGTCATTGTTACATGAAAAGTAGCCATGAAAATAAAGTTTATATTATGGAATAGGCAAATAAGCCCTCTTTACATTATAGCAAGTGGATTACACTGTTCTAAATGCAGGTTAGAAAGCAGACTTCCAGTTTTGTAACGCTGAAACTGTTCGTTTTGGGTGGAGAGTTTGGGGCGGGGAGGGGAAGGAAAAGAAAAGAATCATTAAAAATTGGAAGACGGTAGGAAAGATTTTAGGAATATAAATTTTCATCATAAAACTACAAAACAAAATGTCTTCTCCCCTGCTTGCTTTTTTGGTTTGGCGATTGAGAGAAAACAACAACAAAAAAAAAACCCCAGAACATATTGGGGAATAAAGAAAAAAAACACCACAACAAGCCCTCCTCCTCCAACATCTATCGTACGGCTTGGCAGATTTTGTGAAAACGCTGAAAAGATACGGGGCTTGAACTGCTTTGCTCAGACTCGGGGAAGGTGGTTATTATTCTAGCACCATCCACTTCCCTCCCTAGCTTCCAGGCATTTGGCCTGCTAAGCAAAATCAAGTCAAGAAAATCTACTTCTGCCTCAGACCTAATTGGATAACATCTGCATACAGGGAAGTGAGAAGCTTACGAGACGAGCCAGGTTCAAAACAATCCAATAGCACTCAGCTCCCAGTTAGCTCATTATTTTCTTTTACACCAAGAGACTGATTTAATAATTGCCTCAGAGAAGCGACAAATAAGGGGAATTCGGTACTTCTGCGCTGCCGGTCCCACGCAGAGGTGCAGGCTGGCACAGGTGCCGGAAGGGGCAGAGCCAGCCCTGCCCCAGCAGCGCTCCCGCCCTCACCCCAGCGCTGAGGCTTGTGCCGCAAACCAGCACGGGGAAGCAACCTGCACGAAAACTAAACGGGATGGGAAGCCCGTCTGGCTTTAACTGGATGAATTCCCTAACCCGGTTCACAATATAACGGCAAAAAACCGCCTGTGCTGGCGCTAGGAAAACGGGGAGGAAGGGACGGACAGGCGGATCCAGGGCTTGGGGAATGGCAGGTCTGCTGCCTTTGGCTGCACCGCTAGTTTCAGCCAACAGGACAACTCCACTATTGTGGCACTGCATTGCATGCAGCTACCAGGATACGTGCTGAAGCAGTAAAATCTAAGCCCTCAGTGAAACTGTGTATGATAAAAAATTAGCAAGAGCACCAGGTGATAGGGGGATCTAGTTAAAAAGCTCAGGCAGAAAGACCATTTACGGCACCTCTAATGTTGCAAGGTGTTTTGAACTTTGGGGGTGGCAGGTTGAAAGCTTGAAACTTTTCCAGAGGATGCTTTTTGCCCGATTTTAGAATGGGCCCTCTTCAGTTACAGCGGAGATGAGCTATTTAGGGGTACGGTGGGGCAGCGAGGGAGAAGGGAAGGGAACACTTCTTGTTGCGCAGTTGGGGGTGAGGGCTGGACATGGCACACAAAGAAAACCAAAGACTATTCACTCTGTGTATTCAGTCTAGGGTCTCCTAATGGAGAAGTTTATAGGGTCCGTACAGATCCCAGTGTTAGCTTTATTTAAATGATTTTCATTCTACTTCAGTAAGCAAAAGAAAGGCTTGGGGGCTTGTTCTTGAGGGCTTTGGGTAACGTCTCACATCTTTCTTACCTCCAAATTCTGACCAGCACTTTTCAGAAAAGCTTTGCTGACTTTAGAAAGCACAGCATAGAAGGCAGTAAAATAAATTAGTACAGGCTTTGAGATGTGCCAATTCTGGTTTCTTTTAAAATCATTATAAGAAATTGAACAGGTGGCAAGCTTTTGTCTCACCAGAATTACTAATGGAAGAGAGCTTTCCTTCCTTAGTTTTTGTGCTTGGGAAAAATGAAAATTTGAAAGTAGTCATCTGACTGTTTAGTGAAAGGTGCATTTCTTTTGGAAAACTCTATTTTCACAAATAGTTATTTTTAGCAAAAAGCATTTACACAAAGGATGCTGACTTGCTTAAGCTGTGAAGACTTGGCTAGACATATACAAAAGTACACCCTAATATTCAAAAGGCTGCTGGCACCAACTGATGGGACATAGTGAACGTTTAGGTTTATTTGTTACCTCTGTCAAGGGGAGAGAGTGGGAAAGGAAGAGGAGATGATTCGAGAACAGGAGGAAAAGCGTTGGGAATGAAAACCTTTTCGAAAAAGAATTCACCTTTAAATCCCCTTCCCATCTAAAAATCAAATACAGATCAGGCTGCTTTAGAGTACGAACAGTTGAACAGTGTTAGGTTTGAGCAACATGAGCTTCCCGCAAGCAGCTGCCACCTTCTATCCATCCCAGACCAGAGCGTTTACAGCAGGGTCATCCCAAACTGTGACACATGCATCACTGCCAGTATGCAAGCGATGCCCAAATGAACACTGTCCAAGCACCTTCACCTAAACGTAAGAAATTGTAAGACTGCAGAATACTTAGCAAACCCAGAGATGTGAAAGGTTGCTCTGAATCTGAAATAAGGGAGTTTACTTGGTGTGTGTGTGTGGGGGGGGGTCTCTCTTGGGAAGAGGATCAGGCTTATTATCTGCCAAGAATATCTGCTGTTCATTTCCTGTGAGCAGCACCAGTTCCAAGTATTTGGCATTTTTTACTGGAAAAACTATAAACCCTTAATGTTGCATATCGCTTGCAGAGCTTTCATCTACCTTTGTGTAAAAAATAACTTTTTTTTTTTAAAATGTATTTTGTAAAATAGAACGTGGTGAGTGGTAATAAGCACATGTCACCTGTATGTTCGGTTTCATTACGTTTCCTGCTTTGATGAGGATGAAGGAGGGGTTGCCTTGCAATTTCCAGACCGTTTATTGTCAGTTTATACTGGGATCAGAATTAAGTTTGTTATTACTACTGGCAGAAGAGAAGTCACTGACAGACATACTAACTACTTTTTTCTTTCCTTTTTTTTTTTTTCCCCCCTCCTGCAAGCCTACAAGCCAAAATCCATTAACACCCACCGACTTCAAGGATCTTTGGATCAAATCAATGGTGAGCAACCTTAGACCAAAACCTACAAAACACTTGATTTTTTTACTAAAGCAAAAATTGTTCAGTGATGATTTAGCGACCATTTAAAACAGAAAACATGATTTAAGACATAAAAAAGGTATACCAGAGAAAATTCGCTGTGTAATGTTGCAGTTTGTATGTGAGCTTGGCCCAGCTGGAGAAAGTGATGGGCTGAAGTTGTAAGTGGTCTTTAACATTTTTCAAATAGGCCTTAGTAGATGTAATTCCAGTTTACAACATACTCAAATACACAGAAGAATTTCTATGTGATGATGAACTGCTGTCAGCTTACCATTAGTAACATGCTTCTGCTGCTGTCTATTCAAAGCTAAATTAGGACCATGCATCCTTGGTCACTGGGCTGCTATTTTACTTGGAAACAATAAGGAAGAAGAAGGAAACCTACTTAAGGTTTTCAGGTTGGACAACTGTTTACAAATGAACCTGCCTGGATCAGGATGTATGACCTGTAAATGAGCTGGATCTGCTTTGTAAAGAAAGAGTTGATTAGTCTGCTGAGCCAGACTAATAAGCCCTGTGTTTATTATATATCACATCAAATCAAGTGGTTTTTTGGGCCATAAATCAGTCCAGAAAGTATTTCTCAGTAGTGGGTTACTACAGCCCTACAGTAAGAAAGTTTTGAGTCACTCTTCTTAGACACAAAGACTCTGCTGTCGCAGAGGATGCCGACACTAGCATCTGCTCAGTAGAGAAGCACGCATATTCAGTTATTTCTAGAGTGCTGCGTTTTCCTCATATTCCTCCTCTTTATGATTTTTTTTTCCAGGATTTTTAACAGAATTAGAAATATATATATATAAAAAAACCTTCTAAAA